CACTAGAAGGAAGTGCCCCCCAGAGTCAGCATGGGAAACATTAGAGAGTTGTTGAAATGCATGTGATAGCTGTATCTCCTTTGGCTTCATGGGCCTTGACTCTGAGCCTCTTCTGACTTGTCAACACCTAAAACATTCTTCCAGGGAATGCAAATCCATATTGTGCTCATTTAAACCTACAGACAACTAAGTTTCTTGGTGACAGCTTACAAACAGTTCCCCTAAAAGTGCCCTGTCACCTTCTAGTGTCTGCAGGTCACACGCTGAAGACACTGGCTGAAGACACCAGCCAAACAACATAGGAAACAACCACTCCCATCACAGAAAACACTCCTCACCCGAACATTAGATCTGACTGCTTTGTGTCAATACCTTGGCACAGGACCCAGTATGATGGAAGCTCAGCAGAGAAACGGATGAAACCATTCAGGTCACTCGGTTGATCATTTCTGTCCCAGTTTTCTTCGATGGGTTATCCAACGCTCTGACATTAATGGTCTTTCACTGCAAGCAGAGCACACGTCACCAACTTAATCACAGCACACACTGCTTGGTCCTCATTCTGCCTTTTAAAGTCTCTTTTCAAAGAGAGCGAAAGAAACCAGACACAAATTGGGCCTGAACTTAAAAATCATCCATTGCTTAAGGCGGTGCGTGAGTGTTGTCACCCTCGTAGCTGTCAGCAAACACACTGCTATTAACCACCCTTGGAAAGCAAAAGGCTTAGGGTCCCTCTTAGCCCGTTCTCCTTTATGGTGTGCTGTCAATGCTCACTACAAGCAACACTTACGTGTCCAGGCAAGAGGTGGTCAGCAAGGAAGGCATCTTCTGCTTTCACAAACAGCACAGAGGGCCTTCAAAAACGCTCCTTCCTGTAGGATCCCCTTCTGGGCTTCTGCATCTCATTGGTTACAATGAATGCCTGTCCCAAACAGATGACCAGGAAAATGTTCATTCCTCTGAAGAGAGATGAAGGTTGAGCCGTATCAACCTGGTCTGCTACTGTTAACCCAGAAAGCAAACGACTTACTTGTTCTGCAACCCCTGTCACGTTCCTGGTTTCTGCCTGTTGACGTGGGGCACCTTGTCCTATTTCCAGTGAGCTTCCACCAACAAGCAGCCTAAGAAAAGCAAAATCAGTCCCTGGAAACGCAAGAGAAGCATTGAAACCAAGCTCTATGCTGAGTATACTCTAATAACAAGGAATTAATCTCAAAAGCTGGTTTGTTGTAACGCACAGACAGACAATGCAGAATTACTTCTGAAGCTGCTTTAAGACAACCTGGAAAGTGGAAAGGGGAAATGCACTTGCCCAGGACAAACTCCCTCTCCCCAGCTGTGGTGGAGAAACAGAGAGGGCTGGAGCTGGTGTATTTTCAAAGGCTCATTTTCATACTGGCCCCATTAGGCATGTTTTGTACACTTAAGGCTTGTCCCAGCCTTTGCCAGTTCTCCCTGTTGTCTGTTGTGGTCGATTCTTGTATCTTCTGGGCTCTTAACTTCCTCCTTGTGTCCAAATCACAAAGCTGCCACAGGTATTGGCTGCAGCACATTCCCTCACCTCTGAAGAGGTCTCCTGGCATGATTCCTGCAGCAGCATTGTTTTCAAAGCTAGCCAAGACCTGCAGATGCACCTAGATGCTGCAAGCACTGTCCTAGGGTTTGCTTGCTCGGGATGCTTTCGAGCCTCAGGAACCTGCACCCATGGAGCCATGTTCCCCTTGCAGGGAAAAAAACAAAGACATCTCAGACCTCCCAGGTCTTTTCTGTCCATGAACAATTGCACCTGGAATATACTCCTGCATTAACTCCTCCAAAACAGGAGGGCAAACAGCAACACTGACCTTAGCGCCAGGGCGATCAAATCACTCCCTAGACCGGACACAGCTCTCCTCTTTATTTCACATGGCTGCTGATCCCATTTCCTGCCACGGCATCGCTGAGCATGGAACCGTGGCAGAAGCTGTTAATGCTGCTGAGACACAAACCAGCTTTCTCAATCCTTGAAAGGCAGCGTGCAGACCCCTGACTCTGGTTCTTGCTGCAGACCACTAAATGCTACCACCAAGGGCATCATTCAGTGGCAGCTAAAACTAGTAAGAGATGTACTAATGATCGCTCTGATCACTCATGAGAAATGATGCGGAGACAGCTCAGGAATGAAGAAGAGGACAGGTGTCCTTTTGAGGCGTATCTCCAAAAGCATTCTGAGCTGCAAGGATGCTGGCTGCCTTCTCCTGAGCACCACTATAAGGGGAAAGGATAAGAGCTGGGTTTAGGCATCCCTTTTCCATTATCATCTGGTTGTAACAGCTCACGTAACTCCTAGCTGCAGGATCCGAGTCGGGCCCAAAACAGAGGCCCGAGCATTTTCCCTGCTGTTGAGATTGCTCTGGAACCTCAAAAGGCCCCAGCTCTGCTCCACTTCAGGGCTGCACAGAACGTGCCAAAGCACTAGAGCGAAACCAGACCTCAGCTCAACTCGAAGCCAAACAAGGGGGATGGAGGAGGAAGGAAATACAAACTGGGGTTAAATGGAAGGGAGGGAGGGAGGGAGGGAGGGAGGGAGGGAGGGAAGAAACAGGAGGGAGGCAAACTAAGCATGAGTGTCAGTTCTGGTACTTTTGAAATGCCTTCAGCTCCACTGAAAAAACTAGTACTCATGTTCTCACTCTGGTCACTTCCGTGGCAGCAGGACAGGAAGCAGGGACTTATTTAAAGCTGCAGAAGGCTCATAAGAACAATTCTCACAGACATGGTGATGCTGCGAGGGCTGGAGCAGCTCTGCTCTGGAGCCAGGCTGAGAGAGATGGGTTGGATCAGCCCAGAGAAGAGAAGGCTCCTGAAGGGGAGATCTTAGAGCAGCTCCAGTGCCTAAAGGGGCTACAAGAAACCTGGAGAGGGGCTTTGGACAAGGGCCTGCAGGGACAGGCCAAGGGGAATGCCTTTAACCTGCCAGAAGGGAGACTGAGATGAGCTCTCAGACAGAAATTCTTCCCTGTGAGGGTGCTGAGGCGCTGGCACAGGGTGCCCAGAGAAGCTGTGGTTGCCCCATCCCTGGAAGTGTACAAGGCCAGGCTGGACACAGAGGCTTGGAGCAAGCTGCTCTAGTGGAAGGTCTCCCTGCCCGTGGCAGGGGTTGGAGCTGGAGGAGCTTTAAGGCCCCTTCCAACCCAAACCAACATTTTTCCACCCCTGGTGATAGGCAGGAAAGTGCCAAGTCCCCAGCTCCCCCTCCCTCTCTGGGAGTGGGCACTCACTGCTGGGGCAGCTCTCCAGCTCACAGGGCAATTCTCCTTTCGGAGACAGCCTCCTGGAAGGATGCAGCCATTTCATCCTGTTTCAGGGCAACACCTCTCCATGTGCTATCATTGCAAGCCACAAACTTCCCCTTTGCTGGGGGAAGAGAGGGAAACCGATGTGTTTGACTGCTGGAAAAGCTTTGGGGTGTGAGAAACATCCTGCAGACAGAAAAAAAATCATCAAGTAGTTTTGGGAAGGCCTGGCAAACTGCTGTACCTCGAGAAGAGCTTCACAGAAACTGCACTTTGCTGTTACTGTCAGTCATTTGGGCTATACAGGCTGATATACCCGGAACACTGCAGTTACTGCAGATAAAGACTGTGAAGGTAGTATTTTATCCTGGCTGCTCTCCTCAGCCAAAACCACTGCAGCAAGCTGGGTTAATGCGTGGATTCACATGCTGCCACCACCAATGCCAGCCTCTGCTGCTGCACCTTTCCCTGCACAAACACTCACCCCAGCTCTAAACCTGGCTCCCACCCACATCTGCCGAGGAGCTCTTAGTGCCTCTCAACACTCCCTCGGTGTGAGGGAGCGATGGCGGCAGTCGGGGAGGAAGGAAAAGGCAGTAGCGGAGGCGACGGGACCAGAACTGGTGCGCGAATACCGGCTGCGGCCACACGCACCCCACGCGCCCGCCTGCACCCGAACGTGGAGCGGGGGGGGGGGCGGCGGTGCGGCCGCTGCTCACCGGCAGCCAGCAGTCACCACGTGGCTCAGGCACTTCCGGGAACAGCACTGGGACAAAGGGAGCGTTGCGGCTCGTGCGCGGAGCCCCGGCTGCGGTACCGAATTCTGGACACAGGATGGCAGCAGCGAGCGGCGCCACACAGCGCCCGCCCCCACCTGCTGTGCCGAGTTTTGGGGGGGGGGTATCCCTTCCCAGCATCCCTCCTCCGCCCCGAGCCTTGCAGACCCAGAATCAAGGGGTTTGGAGTATTTTGGGGCCACCACAGCGGTTCCGGCTCCACAAGCACAGCCCGTCATGAAAAGGTCTTTCTGAGGAAATCAGACAGATGAGGACAGTGGCACAGGACACGCAGACAGAAAAAGGAGAGAGAGAGAAGAGGACAAAGGGACCAAGAAATAAAGAAAGGGTTAGATCTGTAAGAAGTGACCAAGAAGTAAAAAAGCTAAAACCAGAAATGGGCCAGAGGACAGAGAGGAGGAAAAGGGGCCAGGGAGCAGGGCAGAGGAGAGAAAGGGGAAAAAGGGAGAGGCGCCTGGACAAGGAAGCACAGCGAGGAATGAGGGGACAGGCAGCAGGCACAGAAAGAGAGACAGAAGTAATGGGGACACAGGAAGCAGTGAAGAGGTGGAAAGCATCATCGGGAAAGAAGGACAAAAAAGACAGAGACAAGAAACAGGACAAGGTGGTACAGAGAGATCAAAAAACAGGGAGGCAAGACAAAGTGAAAGACAGGAAGCGGGACAGAAAGGGTATATAACCTGTCACAGGCATCAGGAGAGAAAGGTGGAAAAGGATGGGCTGCAGTACAGTAACTTCACCAGTTACTGCTCAAGCTGCTCATTCACAGCTGCAAGAACATGGTGTTTTATTCTGTGCAAAATGCACTGGGGAAGCAAGAGACTTGCAAAAACCAGATTAGAAAGGATCGAGGTGGATTGATCCTCAGTCAGCCTGTGTGGTTATTCCATGGTAGCGACAGTGCCTGGTATCCTGAATACATGCAGCAGTACCCTCCTCCATCCAAACAGAAGCCTCGCTAAGCTTTTTGGAAATGTCTTCTCTCTGCTCCCCTGATGAGAAAAACAGATGCTCCTCTTCGTAAAGCTTCTCCTGCAAAGAACAAAGGAAGCGCTCCCATCAAATACCACTGAGTGCAGAAGCATAAAACCACCCAGTCACCCCCTTGTAACAGGGCCGGAGAGTGGACTCCTGGGGCGCTGACTGCACTGGCCAGGAGATTATCACTCAACCCTCCCAAATCTGAGTTCCTGCTCCCAGTATTACCAGAAGCATGGTGGTAACACAGCAAGTGTATAGACACGTGCACATCAGGTACATGATGGTAAAGCTGCAACCACCGGAACTTCACATGCACTTAACCACACAGCAATGGTTCTTGAGGAGCTGTAGCTTCTTTACAGCCCAAGTGTTCCAAAACTCCTGGCTAGGTGCACAGAACAGATACTAGGAACCTAAAGCCTAATGTGTTAGACACACTTGGGGCAAGTCTTGCATTTCTATCAAGTCCCCATGTGCTTGGCAAGCCTAAAGGTAGTGGAAAAATGACTGAAAGACAAAAGGTGGGCTCTTCAAATCATCTCCCCTCAGACAATGGGGGGCACAAAATTCCAAAATGGAATAAACCTTTAGAAACAGTTTTAAGCAATGTTAAGTTTGATGGCTTTTTAACAGTAGCAATGGAAAATTACTGAGCTGCATGATACACAGAAAAAAAAAGTAGAGTACACCTAGAGAACATACTAAGAATTCTTGTACAAGATAAATTATAGCTGAAGTAATTTTAAGAAAAACAGTCTAGAAGAACAGGACACAGGGATAAGGAGTATCTGGGAATAGCAGGTGTCCAGGATGGGCTACAGTTAAACCAACTAATAAGTAGGAGGACAGGAGGATTATTACATTGCTGGTGCTAACAAACCAATTAAGCTGATACAACCATCTACTGCACATGCTTCAAAGGCTGCCAGAAGTGGTGAAGATTGTTGGAAGAAGTAAATGACCCTCAGAGACCACCACCACAATTCTGTATGCATGCAGGGAACTTTCTAGAAAATAATGTAATCCATATGTAGCCTCATGAATATGTATGTATGCCCAGGGACTATATAAGGGCGGCTTGTGTAGCAACACGGGGACACACATTAGGAGGAGCTGTCCCCAGTGTCTCCTGGCGCCGCAATAAATACCTGCTTGAAACTTGAAAACTTTGTTGGCAAGTTTGTTCCCGGAGTTTTCTCCAAATCACCCCCCAGCCCAGACAACTTCACTGCATTCAGATCAGCCAAGCTGCACAAGACACTTCTACCTGCTCTCCAGGTATTCTCATTTCTTTATATCCCTCTCTTACCTGGGTCTCAAGGATGAATGACTCCAAGCTGCTGGCCAATTTCTCTCTTTCCTGTTTCTCTAGATCTCTGATGGTCAAGTCTGGGAATCTAGCACACAAAGAGAACAGAAATCAAAGGTAGCAAGCGCCTTTAGCTGAGCAGTACATCATATGCATCAGCTTCTGTGACGGCAGCACTACATGAGCCACTACCAATTCCGAAGCAATTAACTCCCTTTACCTGGAGCTTTAACCCGGCAGAGCCATTCTAAACATCCTTTTTCATTGAGCTCTTCAGTTCGTCCTCCAACAGGTCAGGCACATCATTTACACTCAGTTCCATGGGGATCTCATGGACAAGCTTTGGCTGCTTGGGTGCTTTGTTCTTCTTCCCTTCCTCCGTTTCAGTAACGGTGCTCTCACCAGAACTTTTGGATGTTTCTTCCACTTTTCACAGTTTATTTCCTTTGAGATCCCATAACAGAAAAGTACATTCCCAGGCAAGGGAACAGATTTGCGGGTGTCGTGGTTTAAATCCAGCCTGTAACAGAACCATGCAGCTGCTCATTTGCTCCCCACTTCTTCCTTTCCCCACTCCCGGAGGGATGGGGAGGAGAACCAAAAGAATGTAACTCTCATGGGTTGAGAGAAGAGCAGTCCAGTAACTAAGGTATAACACAAACCACTACTGCTACCACCAGTAATAATAATGGTAAGGGAAATAACAAGGGAAGAGAGTACAATTGCTCAGCACGTGCCGACTGATACCCAGCCTGACCCAAGCAGTGATCTGGGCCATCCAGGTGACTGCCCCCAGTTTATATACTGGGCATGACGTGCTGTGGTATGGAATACCCCTTTGGTTAGTTTGGGTGAGGTGTCCTGTCTCTGCTTCCTGCTGGCTTCTTGTGCCCCTCCTCACTGGCAGAGCTATGAGACTGAAAAGTCCTTGACTGGACTGAGCCACAACTAAAACATTGGTGTGTTACAGCATTGTTCTCAGACTAAAGACAAACCATAGCACTGCACCTGCTACTAAGAAGGAGGAAAAAAAAAAACCAACCTGTTACAACTGCACCAGGACAGTATCCACCTCTTATTCCATATTTCTTATATATATATATATACACACACACACACACACACACACACGCACACAGATAGATACCATTCCTTAGTCCATGGACCATTCCCATAAATTTGCTGTATTCATTCAGTCCATGACGTCAGGCTTCATCTGTTGTTAACAGCCTTTCAGGGCAGGAGAGACAGTGTGTAGTGTTGGATTCTTGCCTGCTGACAACACTGCAGAACTCATCTGGTCACTGCTGAGCTCATCTGGTTTCATCGAAGTTCACTCCTTGTTGAGGTGATGACCGGAGGGAAGTCTGGGTCAGTCAATGGTGACCTCAGGACAGTTCTGGGAGACTCCTGCTGCTGCTGCTGGCTTTCCCCATAACTTCACTCTCTGCTGATGATCATGACAGCACATATCTTCTTTTCAAAGCCCAGAGTGGTGGAGATGGGCATCTACCTGATGAGCCATAGAAGTGTCATATAGCAGGCAACAGCATATAGTTGTGTTCACTGGCTTCTATGAAATCTCAGTGATAAAGGCAAATTAAAACTGAATCAAGAGCTTGATCTCACTATGGGCCAGAGAGCTTTGCAGAAACTCACACTTTCTCCAACACATTTGAGGCATCACTTACCTACCACTTTTAACAAAAACAGCCAAGAACCACTCAAACTCTTTGGAAGAATGCCTGAACCCATATTGAGGCCTTCCTCAGGCCTGGCACTGGAAGTCATCAAGACATACCATAGGATTTTGGCTTTTGGGCCTGGATTCATCTTGCATCTAAGCAAGAATGGACAGATGAACACCTAGCAGTTCTTCAGCACAGAGTCTACAGCATATCAGCTATCCAGATGAAAGAGTAAATCCATTGCTCACTGGAGACACTGAAGGCATGCTATGAAGCACTACATGTAATTACCATTCAGAAAATTCCAAACATAACAAGTCAGTCCCATGAAGGGCCTTGAACTGCATTTTCCCAGGCACAGTTGATGTTTCTCTGAAGTCTAAAACTGACTTGTGTATTGCCATGGACTTTCTATCATCATTACACTTCTTGTTCACTCCTGCCAATTTTAGAACAATCTATAAGGTTTCCTTTATTAGAAGTATTTAATGCCAAAATATTATCTGGAATATTCCAAAACACATTCTTAGATTAATGTTATATACTACTACACACAAAATTTAAACAGCATCAAAAAAGGAGTGTATTGAGATATTACGAGGAATCTTGAAGCCTAGTTTTTAAAGCAAAATCAGCACTGAGTTCCTGCATGACTTTTGCAGGACTCAGGCCAGGCTGCTCTCTCTTAGTAAGTCCGTAGTTTTCTTCCACATGCTTTGCAAAGGGCATTAGACGTGTCCTAGCAAGAGTACCACCCTTCCAAGTGGGCCGACTCAGGACCAGCTGCCCCCCACAGAATGCACACACAAAGCGCTCTGTGTCCACAGACTTGGAATGACGTCCAGTCCTGAAATGGAAAAATAAGCACTTTGATTTCACAATTGCAGTAGACAGTACTTGTAGGAAAGGGCTCCTTTCTCTTCTGCCAGGCTACTTAGGTCAGATTTCTAAACTAGCATTTTAGAACAAGGAACAAACTACATACTTCACACAGTGGAACAATCAAATCTGTATTACACATTTGTCTACCCTAGAACTTTTTCCACTGCTTTTTCAGCTTGGGTCCTTCCTGTGTCTCTTTTACTCTCAGTCTAGTAGTATAAAGTGCTGCAACAATTCAAAACACCTCCACAACCCACGTATCAACTACCCCTCCTTCAAGTTTCTCTCCAAAGCCATCACCATCAAATCTTATCACAGAATCATAGAATGGTTTGTGTTGGAAAGAACTTTAAAGCTCATTTAGTTCCAACCCCTGCCAGGTTGCTCCAAGCACCGTCCAACCTGGCTTCCTCACTCTCTTAGAAAATAATTTCTTCCTAATGTCTTATCTCCCCTCTGGCAGGTAAAAGCCATTCTCCCTTGGCCCATCCCTGTAGGCCCTTGTGAGAAGTCCCTCTCCAAACTTCTTGTCAGCTCCCTTTAGGTATTCAAATCTAAATGCTCTGTCGCATCTAAGTAACTAATGCATTGCATAACCATATTAACTACTTCAGGAAGATTCTTTTATATGTGAAATACTCTTTCCCTCTGGTGCTTCTGGAAGCAGCATGCATGACCCTGATGGAAAAAAAAAAAAAAAAAATTCCATGCATGCTTTGTAAGGATGCACTTAGCCCTTAAAGGGGACGGGGGGAAGGGGGAGATAATTTATTCTTTTTTAATATTAAAACCCCACACACCATTGTCAACCATTTTCCCAGGCTATGCAGAACTGAATTCACAAAACTTCATGCTCTCCCACTGAGACCAAGGTCACTGCATACAGAAGCCTGGGGTCAGCTATGATCTTCCAGAAAAAGTGACACTTTCCACACCCATGAAAGGTAAAAAACCTGGGAAATTACTATAGCAACTATTACTTATGCTTGATCTCAGCAACACATATAGTTCTCATTTAACAAATACAGTAAGCAAGACAGAAGTCTGATGACCAGTGTTGCAATCTATCAGCAGGTATGTCTCCAACTTCAGTTCTTCACATTACAGTGCTGCTGACACCTGTGTGGCTGCAGATATCTATTTTCCTTTAATAGATACACAAGCTGAAAGAGTCCATGAGGTAAAAGATCAGCTAGAAAACTGACTACCAGTTTTATAGTTTTAAACCAGTAGAAATCGTTATATTGTTTGTTTCTACATTTTACTTAATACTACTGTAACAAGATTAGGAAAAATGTTTAGTCTTAATTCAAGTCAAAGATACAAACCCCAGAAAGTTTCTTCTGGTGCTTTATTCTAGTATCTAAATACTGTGACACATTTTGTGCCTAGTTTTTATGGGGATTTGCTCTGCTTTTGAATTCCAGTTACTACTGACTGACTTCAGCATCAGATGGTCCTCAGTATCTTTACAAGGATAAGCATATAAAAAGCAATTCAATTGACCATGCCATGTCTAGCATTCCCTGTGGACTGCTTTTCCTTAGATCAAACCTAGACTGTTGTCATGGCACATTCAAAGTAACAGTCAAAGATGTTACTTTCTAAGATGTAAAATGTGAACAGATGTCAAACTTGGAATGGCTCATTTCTGCAACAAATGCTAGTACTTTACTTACATGCATTCTACAGCTTTGTGCCAGATCCATTCATTGTTCTATCAGTGTAGGCCTACAAGTATTACTCGATATTGTTTAGAGGTGGACCTGGTAGCCCTGGGGTAACAGTTAGAGTTGATCTTAAAGGTCATTTCCAACCTAGCTGATTCTCTGATGTAGTACTTAGATAAGAGTGGAAATACTCCTCCTACCAAAAAGCCTATAATGGGATCAATCGATCATGACATCAGAGTTAAGTGGTCAAAAGCTTTCACAAGTTCACTCAATATTAACTACAGTAGAAGGTGAATCCAAATTTACATCATTTGAGCAATGTTTGAAAGGTGAGAGCAGCCACGTGAGGTGACCTTTTCCTGCCATGTCATTAAAAGCCAAGGCACATATTCTTATCTCTTACTGCTTCCAAAAGACCTTCCATCATCACCAATGGTTCTCGGAAGACACTTCAGCCTGTCCTGACCTCTGAAATGGAACTGAGACTACCTGAAAACAAACATGTGGAATGGCATAACGAGGATCTGATGGCTTAGGAAGCGTGAAGTGACAACTCAAGAGTACCCCAGTTTAAGAGACCCATCATTTCTAGATATAGGAGACTGCCAAATTTGAGACAAAGTTAATACACAGTCATATGTAAGACCAAAACATTACTCACGTAGCTTTGCACAGAACACACTCATAGATGAATTTGTAATTAATCTCATAGCTGTGGCAACGTGCTACTACCGGTAGTTCTGGATGAATCACAGCTGATTTATTGGCATAGTATCTCCAGAATCGTCCATGTCCATCGCGAACACCATTGATCAGCCAGGTGGCCGCATGGCAAGCTTCATGAACTAGCGTGTCTCGAAGACGATCTTGGGGTAAAGCAAACAAAAGATATTGAGATCAGTCAGGTACGGGGAAGTACAGACTTTCATCCTTGGCCAATGCTTTAACACTTAGTATAGAGATGCAAGGCTTCATCAGGGTTTTGAGTGACAGGACAAGATGCAATGGGTTCAAACTTAAACAGGGCTAGTTCAGGTTAGATCTAACAAAGACATTCTTTACTGTGAGGGTGGTGAGGTGCTGGAACAAGTTGCCCAAAGAAGTGGAAAATGCTCTATCCCTGGCAGTGTTCAAAGCCAGTTTGGACAGTCTTGGGTGACATGGTCTAGCGTGAGGCACCCCTGCCCATGACAGGGGTTGAAACTAGATAATCTTAAGGTCCTTTCCAACCCAAACCATTCTACAATTCTATGACTTATTTTGGAGGTTGGAATTACCAATGTTTTGATCAGATAAAATGTCCAAAACCAAGATTTCACTCAGTGGATTTCCAGTTTTGTGATTAGCCTTAATTCTGCATCCTAGTTACTTGCCTACACACCTAATCTGTTTGGTTTTTTTCTGCTTGGTTGGTTTGGTTTTGGGGGCTTTTTTTTCCTGTTTGTTCTGTTGTTTTGTTTTCTGTTGGGTTTTTGCTTGTTTCTTTTTTTTTTATTTAGATGAGACCCTAAACACCTTTATATAGACCAAGATTCATTGATTTTTTTTTTTTTTGTAACATTGACATTTTTCCTCCAGAAACAACTAGAACAGAGCACGAAATTTTCTCCACAATTAGAATGGAATATTTCAGCTGGACAGGATGTGCAGTGATCACTTAGTCCAACTGCTTGACCAAAAGTTACAGCATGGTATTATGTGTGGATGGATTTTTTAGCAAAGAATGGCCATGTTCCCAAGTCAGCAAGTGCCTACATGGAGCTCGACATGAACAGAGGATGAAGGAGGACATGGGTAAAGAAGCAAAAGTAGCAGTAGCAAAAGTATCAGTGCAAGCAAGATAAGAAGAAACTGGACTGTGCTAAGATACAAAATAGTGGACTGTTAGCAAATTTTAAAGGTTAAGTTCTCGTACGCTTATTGTTACTAGTTGCTGTGTGCTGCAGGAATATGTACCAAAGCATAGTATACTGAGCTATTGTATATGCATTCAATCATCATACAAGCTATTGAACATGTATCTAATTATGCTACAGCGAGCTATTGATGATGTATCCAAATATGATACAGTGAGCTATTGTAAATGTAACTGTAGTTGTGGTGTATTACAAGAAAATGTATCCAATTATAATACAGAAAGCTATTGTAAGCCGAGGCAGAGAAACAGTATAAAAAGGATTGATACTCTATAATAAATGGCTTTGGTCTGATCATATTGATCTCTGACTGAGTCCATATATTTTCTGTGGCAATTAAGGGTACTGTCCAAATGCCTCTTAAAACACTGACAGGCATGGGGTGCATTGACCACCTCTCTAGAAAGCCTTTTCCAGTGTTTAATCACCCTCATGGTAAAGAAATGCTTCCTGATGTTCAGTCTAAAGGTCTCCTGGCACAGCTCTGAACCATTCCCATATGTCCTATCTCTGGATACCAGAGAGAGGAGCTCAGCAATTCCCCTCTTCAGGAAGCTGTACAGAGCAGTGAGGTCACCCCTCAGCCTCCTTTTCTCCAAACAAGACAAACCCAAAGCCCTTTGTCACTCCTCATATGCCATTTCTTCCAGACCTTTCACCAGCTTTGTTGCCCTCCTCTGGATGCATTTAAGTACCTTCACGTCCTTAATACATTATGGGGCCCAGAACCACACATAACACTTAAGATGAGGCCATACCAAAGCTGAATACAGCAGGATAGTGACTTCTTTTCACAAGCTAATTATACTGTGGTTGATGCACCCCAGGATGCAGTTTGCCCTCTTGGTTGCCAGGGCACACTGTTGGCTCCTACTGAGCCTGCTGTCAACCAGCACCCCAGATCCATTTCTGCAGAGCTGCTCTGCAGCCATTCCTCTCACAGTTTATCCTTGTGCCCAGCATTATTTCATCCCAGGTACAGAATCCAGCATTTGGACTTGCTAAATTTCATCCCATTAATCATCACCCAATGCTCCAATCTAGCTAGATCCGTCTGCAAGGCCACCTTCCCTCAAGAGTTAACAACATCTCCCAGTTTGGTATTATCAGCAAACTTGCTAAAGGTGCATTCAACTTCTGCATCCATATAATTGATAAATATATTGAAAAGGACTGGCCCTATAATGAAACCCTGAGGAACACCACCAGTGAGCCGCTGCCAGCCAGATGTAGCCCCACGCACTGCAACCCTTTGAGATCTGCCCTTCAGCCAGTTCTTCACTCAGAACACCATGAACCTATTCATCCCACAGTTGGACAATTTCTCCAGAGGGATGCTGCGAGGGACAGTATCAAAAGCCTTACTAAATACCAAAAAAAAAATACATCCACTGCCTTCCTTCATCCACTAAGTGGGTGACCTTATCATAGCAGGATATCAAATCAGTTAAACAGGCCTTTCCCTTTGTGAACCCATGCTGTGTCTTATGTTGCATTATTCTTTAATTGTTGTTCAATAGTACTCAAAGCAATCATCTCCATAATTTTTGCAGAAAGTGAGGTTAGACTAACAGGTCTCTAGTTTTCTGCATATTCCCCCATGTCCTTCTTGCAAACCAGAATAACACTGGCTGTCTTCTAATCAGCAGGGACCTCCCCAGGCTCCCAAGACCTTTCATAGATGATCAAGAGGTGTCCTGCTATAACTCTGGCTAACTCTTTCAGTACTGTGCGGTGAATCCCATTAGGCCCCATGGACTTGTGACATGTATGTGGACATACAGCTGGTTTTTGACAACTTCAGTGTCCACACTTGTAGTCCTCCGACTCGGGAGACTGAGCAGCCCAAGGTCTGACAGTAAAGACTCAGGTAAAAAGTAGCATTGAATACCTCTTCTTTTTCATTCATCCCTATTTAGTCTGCTGATCATAAACATCAGTCCAATGTTTTCTTTAGACCTCCTCTTGCTAAACGTACTTAAAAAAAGCGTTCCTTGCTATCTGACAACACTGGCAAGTTTCAACTCCAAATGAGCTCTGGCCTTTCACATCTTCACCCTGCATATAAAAACCATAGCTCTGTAATATTCCTGCAAAGCCAGACCTTACTTCCAGAGATCGTACAATTTCTTTTTCCCCTTGACCTCCACAAGGAGTTCCCTGTTCAGCCAAGCTAGTCTCCTGCCCTGCCTGCTTGACTTAAGACACAGGATTGTTTGCTCCCCTGCTTCTAAAAGGTACTTCTTAAAAACTGATGAGCACTTGTGGACTACTAAGCCCTCAAAAGCAGATTCCCAGGGAACTCTGTTCTAATTCCAGAGCAGTTGTATGCTTGTTCTGGAGCACCTCTCCTGCGGCGACAGGCTGAGAGAGTTAGCCTTGTTCAGCCTGAAGAAGGGAAGGCTCCAAGGACACCTTATAAATCATCCAATAAATAAAAAGGCTGACAGGAAAGCTGGAGAGGGGCTTTGGACAAAGGCCTGTAGGGACACGACAAGGGGAATGGTTTTCACCTGCCCCAGAGGGGAGACTGAGGTGAGACATTAGGAAGAAGATCTTCCCTGTGAGGGTGATGAGGTGCTGGCACAGGGTGCTCAGAGAAGCTGTGGCTGCCTCATCCCTAGCAGTGTTCAAGGCAAGGCTAGACAGGGCTTAGAGCAATCTGCTCTAGTGGAAGGTGTCCCTGCCCGTGGCAACGGGTTGGAAATGGATAATCTTTAAGGTTCCTTCCAATCCAAACCAGTCTGGGATTCTATGATACTATGATCTCTCATGATCTGATCTATGATAAGATTTATTAAGCTTATTTAAAAATATTCTATCATTTCTAGAACTGGTTCTTCTATGGTAAGTGAAACATTAAGTTCCCCAAATTGAGAGGGGATGAGGGAGAAGTAACAGTTACAGTACCCACCACACAACAGAACTTAATTTGACACTGACCTATCTTTATTCCAGATTCAAATATGACCAATAAGGTGGCTAGTTATGATGGATGAGTCAGATTTTAGATTGTCATTATAGTACATATGAGTAACCTACAGTTCTTCAAATCAGTAATATAAGCGAAATATTGCAGTTAGCATTAATATATCTGTTCTCACATTTCTGTAAATTTGTCTAGCCTCTCAGAAGGGTTGTGAAGACAAGTACTACAATTAATGGAATTATTTATTCAAGATAATATGAAATATCAAAGCAGGGTCCTGTTCCATATCAATTAAGCCTCACATTCATGTTTTTATCTCTAGAACTTGCTATCTCACAGAAGAATCAACATATTTTGGGAAACGGGAGAGGTGCCTGAGGACTGGAGGAAAGCAAATGTCACTCCAGTCTTCAAAAAGGGCAAGAAGGAGGACCCAGGTAACTACAGACCGGTCAGCCTCACCTCCATCCCTGGGAAAGTGATGGAACACCTTATCCTTGGTGCCATCTTAAGGCATATCAAGGATAAGAGGGTTATGAGGGGCAGCCAACATGGCTTCACCAAGGGGAAATCATGCTTGACCAATCTCTTAGCCTTTTACGAGGAAATAACACAGTGGGTGGATGATGGCAGAGCGGTTGATGTGGTCTACTTTGACTTCAGCAAAGCATTTGACAGTCTCCCACAGCATCCTCACAGCTAAATTGAGGAAGTGTGGTCTGGATGATCAGGTAGTGAGGTGGACTGCGAACTGGCTGAAGGAGAGAAGCCAGAGAGTTGTAGTCTATGGGGCGGAGTCTAGTTGGAGGACTGTAACTAGTGGAGTGCCTCAAGGGTCAGTACTGGGACCAGCATTATTTAATATATTCACCAACCATTTAGATGAGGGAATCGAGTGTACTATCAGCAAGTTTGCCGATGACACTAAGCTGGGAGGAGTGGCTGACATGCCAGAAGGCTGTGCTGCCATCCAGCGAGACCTGGACAGGCTGGAGAGTTGGGCAGGGAATAACTTGATGAAATATAACAAGGGGAAGTGTAGAGTCCTGCATCTGGGCAGGAACAACCCCAGCTTCCAGTATAGGTTGGGGAACGACCCGTTAGAGAGCAGTGTAGGGGAGAGGGACCTGGGGGTCCTAGTGGATGACAGGATGACCATGAGCCAACACTGTGCCCTTGTGGCCAAGAAGGCCAATGGCATCCTGGGGTGTATTAGAAGGGGCGTGGTTAGTAGGTCGAGAGAGGTCCTCCTTCCCCTCTACTCTGCCCTGGTGAGACCGCATCTGGAATATTGTGTCCAGTTCTGGGCCCCTCAGTTCAAGAAGGACAGGGACCTGCTGGAGAGAGTCCAGCGCAGGGCAACTAAGATGATTAAGGGAGTGGAGCATCTCCCTTATGAGGAAAGACTGAGGGAGCTGGGTCTCTATAGTTTAGAGGAGAGGAGACTGATGGGTGACCTTATTAGTGTATATAAATATATAAAGGGGGAGTGTCATGAGGATGGAGCCAGGCTCTACTCAGTGGCAAACAATGATAGGACAAGGGGTAATGGGTACAAACTGGAACACAAGAGGTTCCACTTAAACTTGAGAAGAAACTTCTTCTCAGGGTGACGGAACACTGGAACAGGCTGCCCAGGGAGGTTGTGGAGTCTCCTTCCCTGGAGACATTCAAAACTCGCCTGGACATATTCCTTTGTAACATTATCTAGGTGTTCCAGCTCCAGCAGGGGGATTGGACTTGATGATCTTTTGAGGTCCCTTCCAATCTCTAGCATACTGTGTGTGTACTGTGTGTGTATTTTTTCTTTTACCTACCTGCAGAGTCACAGACTTTCTCAGAAAGTTCTATGCGAGCGTAACGCTTTGCTTCAGGACCTTCTGTCTGCCCAGTTACACAATATCCTGCTGTTTTTCTCATTTTCTTATTCCAGATTATTTCCATTTTGTCTGGTAACTGCAAAACAAAACAGTATGTGTAATCTGCCCTCTCCTACATCTCTCCTTTTGGACCTCTGGCTTCCCCTTATATTTACTGCAAAGCCAGCAAAGGAGGTGCCTGTTAGTGCCCTTAACACTGTTGTCATTCAAGATGCAAACCCACCCTCCTCCTTGTCATTCCTATCCTCAGTTTTTCTGTAACCAACACTGGGAGTTTCACAATGCAGGATGAGACAAAAAGTCCTTTGGCTCCTCTATTCTGCCTCGAACAGTGGCTAACACATGCTGCTTAAGAGGAAATACAAGGTCAGCAATGAAACAGAAAAATTTCCTCTTCAAAAAAGAGGACTCCTATTTTTGCTAGTCACTTTGCAAGACACCACCTCACTGAGCCACAGGTGGTTCCTCTTTATTAAACAGCCCTTAGAAGTGTTTTCTGGTGTTTTGGGGAGTACATGTATGTACGTTCTTAAACGCGTGCATGGTTAGCACACAGACCACAATTATAGTCTCCTATCAGAAGCTCTACTGCTTAATAATTTAGAAGTCAAGTACCACTTGCTTTGGTTGTTCTGAACCTGCAACTTGCCATTTTAATTTGATGCACCTTCACACTGTGAGAGGGAGAAAAATCATCCCTTGCTTATTCTCTGTGTTGCTTCTGATTTGATAACCCCTCATAATATCTCAGTTAACTCTGTTCTTTTACTATCAGTTTTTTGTCATCCAAATTAGTTAATAAGCTTAAATAAATGGTCCAGCAGTAGTTAAGTAGTTAAGTGCTAGTACAGGTACACAGCTGAAGCACTGGTGAGCAAAATATTTTGCTTTCAGCAGTAGTGAGCCTGATCAGCTCAGCTCCCATGACCTCAATGTGTCCTTGCTCAGCTCCACAACGTATTCTCAGCTGCACAGACACCTTTTGCCTCCTGAAGGAAATGCTATTGGAATTACTGAGAGCAGCATCCTTCCTTTCACAGATGTTTCTCACCAGAGGAGAGTCTCCAGTATCCCAGAAGATTTAAAGGTCAAGACAGCAGTTCTCTGAAACTGAACCTTCAATTTGAACACAACTTACAGCTTTAGGTTCACCCAGAACTGTTAGTCAAAGAATAAACAGCTCTTTTGTCCGTTCCAGAATGACAAACATGAACATGCAATAGGAACGAACTAAAACTGCATGTACCATGACAGGCCCTAACAACAAAGGGAAGAGCTTTTACTCATTAGCTAGCTCCCTTATCCCCAACATATGCTCCCACCACTTGCCTTTTGTCAGCTGGAGGCTAGAAAGTTGTGTTACAATTAGCTGTTAGGCTATGATAATGCTGAAGAGTTCACTAGTACATGTTACTTCTGTAAAAGCTTAATGAGCAACAGTGATATGCAACCTTCTTTCAGCAGCAAAGCCATAGCCGCCTTTGCTGGGGTCCACTACCACAGAGGAAGCAACAAAAACATTCTCAGGCTGCTTAGCTGATAACCATGCAGGTACTATAAAACCCATGAAGATAAGTATCATTCAAAGATGAAACTGATCAAAGGCCCCTCATGTAGCAGTTTCTCTCATCAAGGACTCTTGGACAACATCCAGACTGCTCGCTTACAGATGGTACACCGCTACAGCTGGGAAAGCAAGCCAAGCTGTAAACCGCTGCACCACAGTGGTAATAAAACCCTTTCACAGAAATTGCTTGAACTAGTTCAAACATAAGCCATTGCTGTAAAGCTTAACTTCTACTAACTGAAGAGGATAAAGAGCAATCACATCAAAAGGCAAGGAGCCACATTTTAACATTTTAAAATTGTAGGTTTTGTTTTGAAGCCAACCTTCTGGTCAAAGATGGTGCTATTATACAGACAGTAGAGTTTCCATGCCAGCTCCTCTTTATTTTTCTTAAAATACCTCACATAGTGGGAACCTGGATTTGAGAGATCTTGCAAGAAACAGCCAGGCACTGAGCACACCCTGAGCCTGCAAGAAAAAACAAAGCAGTTTACTGAAGTAAATTGAAAAATAATAGCCATTTCATAGCCAATAAAGATCTCTGGGATGCTGCCACTGACATAAAGCTCTCCTGACTTTTCTCTGGCTTGCCCTCAAGAGGCAGTGGGAAACACCGGCTTATAGCATCTTCTTGCCCCTTCAGGGGCATGAAGGGGCAGAGCTGTTGCAACAGAATCATAGAATCATAGAACAGTTAGGGTTGGAAAGGACCTTAAGATCATCCAGTTCCAACCCCCCTGCCATGGCCAGGAACACCTCACACTAAACCATGTCACCCAAGACTCTATCCAAGCTGGCCTTGAACACTGCCAGGGATGGAGCATTCACAATTTCATTGGGCAACCCATTCCAGTGACTCACCACCCTCATAGTAAAGAACTTCTTCTTTATATCTAACCTAAACTTCCCCTGTTTAAGTTCTAATCCATTACCCTTTGTCTTACCACTTCAGTCCCTGATGAAGAGTCCCTCCCCAGCATCCTTGTAGTCCCCTTCAGATACTGGAAGGCTGCTCTGATGTCTCCACACAGCCTTCTCTTCTTCAGCCTGAACAGCCCCAACTTTCTCAGCCTGTCTTCACACAGGAGGTGCTCCAACCCCCTTACCATCCTCATGGCCCTCCTCTGGACTTGCTCCAACAGCTCCATATCCTTTTTATGTTGAAGACACCAGAACTGTACACAATATTCCAAGTGAGGTCTCATGAGAGCAGAGGACAGGGGCAGGATCACCTCCTTCGATCAACAGTTCTGAAATTACTTTATTAATTCACAAAACTAGATTATGAGGATTCCTAAATAGGAAAAGAGGGTAGCTCAGATCTTTGTGACACAGTGAGCCATTATTATACCAAAACTTGATCCATATCTGAACAGCCCTAACATGATCGCCCACAATAAAGAGTATTTTTAGAAACACAGAAATCATCAAACCAACCAGCTTGGGAAAGACCATCAAGATCATCAAGTTCAACTGCTCCTCAGCACTGCCAAGGCCACCACTAGCCCATGGCACTGAGGGCCTTGTCTACACAGTGTGTGAACACTTGCAGGGATGGTGACTCCACCGCTGCCCTGGGCAGCCTGTTCCAATGCCTGAGCACCTTCTGGGGAAGAAACAGTTCCTAATCTCCAGTCTAAACCTCCCCTGGCACAGTTTAAGGCTGTTTCCTCTTGTCCTGTCACTTGTTCCTTGGGAGAAGAGACCAGCCATCTCCTCGCTCCATCCTCCTCACCTTTTGGGAATCCTCAGGAATTCAGTCAGGGGAAGCAGGTATTTTACTAACTCCAATACTGCAACATTCTGACAAAGTATCAGCTTTGAAGACACCATTTAAAGATTTTGTATTGGTATACACAATCATAAAATGACTAAAGGAAACATCCCAGGGCTAAAAGGCAGAACAAAGGCAGCTACCACCATAAATGAAAAGGATGTTCTCCTGAAAAGCTTAAATTGCATCTGTAGAAAAAGAAAGATGAATGCTGCAAGTTCTGAGAATACTAGTCAAAAATATCAAAGCAAGCTTGTTAAAAAGGCATGTATTATTAATAGCATCAGTCTGGATGGATAAATAGAGTCTATAATCTGGTGTGAGGGTCAGTCATTTTACCAATCTGTCCAGATGTGGAATGGGGATATAGGTAGCTATCTGATCAGAACTTGATTGTGAAACAAATAATGTGACTTATAGTACATGACAGAAGGTTAAAGTCATTTTTTAATTCAAATGGTGTCTCTGCATTACTGCTCTCAGTGTGCTGGTGGTGTATTTTGAATTGGTGAAGTGTCACAGAAATGTCTAAGTGACCTAAGTGAGGTCACAAATAGCAGATGGATAAATAGAATGCATGTGGCCAGCCATGTCAGAAGTACGCTGTGTCAAGACAAAGAATAGCAAGAGAGCTACCATTTACAAAAAAGATTTGGTATTTGCCACATTTTTTAGTCATTAATTCCTCTAAGAAGAGATTAGTTTATATTCTCCCCGTCACACCCGTGACTGAAAGCTTTGATTTACAGCTACTTAACAACTGCTGATTTGGTAGCAGAAGTTTCTAGGTACCAGAAAAATCAGAATGTCATCCTAAGCAAAATGCTTAGCATCTATCTGTCCATCTATATTTGGTCAAAGAACATAGTAGGGAAAAAAAATAACCTACAAAAAAAACCAAATTTACCTTTTCTCTGTCTTTGCTGACTGCGAGCAACCGACCAATTTGTTCCTAGGAGTTCCTGCAGAAGCCATTATCCTGGAAGGTGTTTCTTGAAGTGAAATAGAATTTGGTCTTGGTGTCTTGACTCCCTTCCCTTTCAAAGGCTGGCCATCTTCACAGGGTGACTTGTTATTTTCTAGTTCAACAGAAAGAGTCACAGGATTACAAAGAATCTGGAACACAGACATCAGCAACCAAGTAACAGACAAAGATGAAAAAGTTAAATACTCCACCTCAGCACACACACTCCTACTGTGCATACTTGAATACAAAGGCTTATACAACTGAGGGAAAGGTAATTTGCTGTTATATAGTACAAAAATTAACATTCAATGAAAGAGTGGCAGACTTCAAGCTTTCAAACATTCAGCTAGGAGGAACTAGAGGGAAAAACATTTATGACCTCACTTAGGTATTTCTGCAACACTTCACAATTCAAAATACACCACCAGCACACTGGGAGCAGTAATGCAGAGACATCATTGAAGAAAAAAGTTACTTTAACCTTCTGTCATGTACCATAAGTCACATTATTTGTTTCACAATCAAGTTGTGATCAGACAGCTACCTATATCCCCATTCCACATTTGGACAGACTAGTAAAATGAGTGACCCTCACACCAGAAATCAAGGACCACTTCAAGGTCTGTGGTTTCAGTAGGCCTTCTCTCTGTTGGCTGGGGAACATCATTCAAAACCACCCATTAGATTTTTTTTAAGAACAATTTTTAAAATGCCTACAGTTACAGGAATTATAAAAACAAGCAATGCTGGAAAACTTAAACTTTGATACCACAAGACTAATAGAATCATAATACTCAGAGGAATAATTTCTGATTGCATCAAATTCAAGTGCAAGATGCTGGGTTGCACTTCTAAAACATATGCCACACAAATTAAAATAATTAGGCAATCAGCACTACACCACTGCTGTCAGTAGCTTGCAAGTCAGCCAAGAACAATTGCTCACCTCTTGTACTTGGTTGGTGGACAGTTTTATTTGTGCTTAAGATAGGGTTTTGAGGTATACTTCCTTTCCTTATCTGTTCTATTAATGATTCAAATTCACCATCCGAGCTATCTGATTCTATCTCTGTACTTTGTTGTAATGCCACAGTTGGTACTTTATTTTCTGTACTTTTTTCACAGCTCCTTTCTCTCCTTCTGGGTTGCAAGTCTGGACTGCCTCTGGAGATTGACTTTCTCAGATTTTGTGGAGGTGGGAGTTTTAGGCACTTCTGACTCTCTTTCAGGTCTTTTACTCCCCCTTTTTGGTAGTCAGATTCTACAAAGACAGAATCATCAGTGTCACTTGAAGCCTCTGGATACTGCAGTTCTTGACAGCAACTGTTTTTCTTTCCAGAAGGCATCCACTTCTTGGTGGTCTGAGGATCCTTCTGTCCTGCAATTCAAAAGAAACAGCTTAAAGTTTTGATAATTTCTTTTAGGAAATTTACCTCTGTCTTAACAGAAAAAAAAAGGTCCTTGAAAAAGATAAGAAAATACAAAGAATAGAAACATATCTTCCCATTTGCTTTATTATACCTTGCACATTTATTGTCATACTAAATGGAAAGTCACCGAATGATGTATTTTTTTAATACTTTTTTTTTTTTTAAGTTACCTTTAACAACATGTATGTACACATAAGCCATCAAGCCTAACAATCCTGAACAGTAACTAATGCTGGCATAACTTTCATTCCCAGCAACGAAAGCTATGTGCATGTAGAAGCTGAACATTTCATACTAAAGCTTTACACAACCACCAAGTGAAGATCAGACCATAGCCTACAGCACAAAGTGCACATCTATCAATAAACAAGGCTTCTAACATCTCAAATTTGACCTATCAGGAACAAGGGATCATGTCAGACCTCTTGGTGACTGATTTTTTCTTTTAATGATGCTTCTGGTCCACTGTGCTTCCCCCATTTCCCCTCCAGAAACCATTCCAATAGTTTTTTACAGCCTGCAGTTGGTATACATGTTTCAAGGTTGACATTCTCACCAGCTGCAAATGATCCCATCCTTCTTGATCAGGGGTCAGAGCTTTCCCAGGTTCCCATGAGATCACTGTTATCATCCCTCATCTACCAAAATTCTATCATCTGATCACTGGCCTACTGGCTGTGTAAAGAATTCCAGAGCCCTGTTCACCCAATTCTACTGATGTCCAGCTTGCACTTATCAATTGGAAGTGCACAAGACAGGTGTAGTCAGGCTCTGAATGTTAGTAAACCAAGGCACTTTCCATCCTTGGGGGGAAAACAGAGATCCTCTGCTCAGACAAGCACTGAACCCCCACAAGTAATAGTTTGCTTGAGCATCTTGTAGCCAGTGTTAACAGGATTATGCACAGGACCTTGGCTAAAGAAGCTCCAAATTAAAGCATTATCTGTGGCTCTGCAACACCTTGGCCAAAACGTGCATTGAATTAAAGGTATCTAACTAAAGGTATCTATCTTTACTCAGTGTCTTTTGACCACAGAATGAGCTACTACAGCCACTGGAACACTAATTTGCATATCCTACGTCCTCTCTTCATAGTGATCATCCCACATTTGCTCAGTCTAATCAGCCATGAGTTGTACTCTTTTCATAGACCCAAATGCTAGCAGGTAGTCCACAGTCTGTATCTACAGATCTACAGCAATGCTTCAAAATATATACTTGTCAGAACAGTAAGAGCATACTTTCTTCTTTTACACCCATGGGAAACAGAAAAGCCTCAAGCAAGAGACAAAGTGAACTTATAATTAACAAGCTCTCCCAGAAATTTATGAGCTCAGAAATGAATGCTAACTTTCCACCCATTAAAATGCCTGCTCTGTATTTGCTGTTGACTTGCCATGCTTTGTTGGGCTTTTTCTCACTTTCAAGTCCAAGCAGAAACCATCCAAATCATCGACTGAGTCCTTCAAACTGCAAAATGAACAAATAACATGAAAAAGGGGAGGCATAAACAGGAAAATAGAAGAGTAAGTATGCCTTAGCAAAAAAAAGCAAACAAAAAAAAAAGCCACAAAATATAACATCATCAGTTGATCACAGCAAATGTTACCAACCACGTTCATTAATAGGAATAGCAACAGAGCATGTATACCTCCAAACATACCATTTTACATTTGACCTGAACATACAGACTGAACACCAACTTGTCTGTGCTCACTCCTATTACCATATCTGCCTATGAACCACTAAAACTTTTACTAATTTTTCTGTATTCTGAATAGCAGATGTGATACAGAAACCTACTATATAAAAAGCCATTAATTACAGCACCCACCTCACGTATGCCTTTTTTGAAACAGATTTTGGAGTTTTCATTCTAGCTAAAACTGAAAAAAGAAAAAATCATTAAGACCAAGGTTCCATTTCTTTTGTTATGCTTTTCTTTCTTAAGGAGAAAATTTTAGTAAAAATTTGGTCTAAAGTCTTAAAAACAAAACAAAAAACAAACACCACCCCCCCCCAAACTAAAACAGCTACCAAACATAAGAATCCTTTATATATAATTCCAACTGTCAATTCCCTAAAGCTGACAGCAGCTTTCCAGCATTTCCTTCATAATCAATCCTTGCCCAGCACAAAGCCAGAGAAGTGCTGTTATGTATCTTGCAGTATCCATTAGAGCCTTCTCATATACGTGGACCACTGGGGATGGAATTGAATGGGTTTATCAATATTTTCTCCAAGCATTTCAGTACCTGCAGGTAATAGCTTTTCTGCTGCAAAGAGCTGTCCATACGGTTATTCCAGTAAGAGACTCGAAAACAACAACAAAAAAAACCAACAAATAAACACACCACCACCCCCCAAAAAAAACCAACACCCTCCCCCCCGCCAACAGTCAAACAAAATGGTAACAGTACCCCACTACATTTTAATCACTCCAGGAATGCTGTGGTGACTGTTAACAAAAACACCATTCAAGCAGTGGTACTGCACATGCTTGAAGCAGTGAGTCTTAAAGAAATGCCATCAAAATTTCATACACAATTATTATGAGAGATTCAAGAAAGCTGAAGGGGAACAAACTTCATTAAAGCATAAATCAGGCTAGGGAGAAAGGAAACCATTGTCCCTTCATCAAAACGCAACTAGCCGCAAGAGTACTTAAGGAGTGTTTGCTCTCCCAGTCCAAAGCTGCATGCATGACTTCAATGGGATTATAAACTTTCGCACTGTGCCATAAGCAGAGCATGGGACTGAGTGGTATCATCTTTGAAGAAGAGCACAAGGGGAAGGCTAAAAAAGAATTCAAGAACTTGAAGCTCAAAAAGTGTTTGGAGTAGTGAGTTATCTTCAACTTTAGCACCTGGCAGTCTTCACCACTACCTTCATCACAAAAGAAGTAAACATGGCATCTGCTGCCTTCCAATTCAATTCATCAAGGTGGCTCACTGAAGAACAAATGCCAGCAGACAAAGGCTTACAGACAAATACAACTTGCTACTTAATAAATCAATTCCCTTTAGTTTCTCATCTCTTGGCACATATTTTTCCTTCACCCTTTCCTACAATTTTCAGTATAGTGACAGCATGGCAACAGAACAGCTTTTCAAATATTCTGCTCTAAGACCCAATTAGTCACTCTCAGCTACCTTCCATACTAGAGCTGACACCTGACTTCGGCCTCAAGAGCTTCCTGGATGGAGGCAAAAAAAAAAGGAAAAAAAAAAAAAGAGTAGAAAAAACAGACTATCAAATAACTTTAAAAATTACAGGGAGGAGCTAATAACTTAATGAATGGACAGTACTGAAATATTTATCGGATCTGAAAGCCCGATAGTAGTGCAGTGAACTATATACATCATGTTCTAATTCAACTGGATGCAAGCAGTAAGGCTTGACAATGCTTAAGATCATTCACATGGCACTGAAACGGAGCACAGTAGAAACTCTAAAGTAATGAGAAACCTGCTTTAAAAGCAGCTGGACTAACAGAAGAACGATAGGCAGAAGGCAAAATAAACAGATATGACTTCTTGTCTTACCATTTCTACTACCATCTCTGTTCAAATCTTGAATACCTAATGAGGAACATATTGCAAACATAAACCTTTAAACTACTCACCAGCTTGAAACCCACTTGAGGTGTGGTAGAGCCACGATTAGTTCATCTAAGGAACAAGCTAAATAGAACTCTTGCAACAGGGAAAAAGAAAAACCAAACCACTGTGTACTCAATTACTCTAGCACAAAACAATAGTCATTAATGGCTATTAACAAAAAGTGCAAACATCAGGTTTTGTATGTATAGGCTATATATGCGCAGCAGAAGACACCATGTAAAATTCACAGTTCCACCGTACCAAGACCTTTAGCCACTATGAAAACCGCAAAACATCCTAAGTGGTTAAGAGTCATGAAGGAAAAGAATGCAAGAGGGAATTCTGAGTAGGTTAGGCATGTTTGGAACAGCAACTGCTTAGAGAAAATGATTATTCAAAGATGCTCTATAGTCTAAGAAGAAAGCAAGTTATAGGTAACAGACAAAACTGAGGCAACAAGAAAAATAACGCAAGGCATAAGATTCAAGAACACTCACTGTGGCATACAGCTACCAACACTGCACTGCAAGGAGAAAATGTACTTTGCAGCAGGAGCAAGGAAAGAAAATAATGCATAAAAACTACTTCACTCTAGTTAGACATGTCACTTTCATACTCCTTCAGAGAAAAAAACCTAATGTGCTATTACTCACACATTTCAAATTCATCATCACTGCCGGAAGAGACATACAGGGCATGGCTGCAAAAAATTAAATGCAGAATAGTATCAAGAACATTAGGTCAACAGCAAGTACATCTGCATCTCCCCTGAAGTACCTGTGACCACCAAGAAGCAAATACACACTGAAATAATCACTGAATGTCTCAAATAGACTGAACTGTTTAATTTTAAATAGAAATATTAGAACCAGCATATTAAATTTATAACAACTATATACATTCAATATTCAAGTAGCAATCATTCACTGCCAAAATCTGAACAACTGAACCACCTGGAGACACAAGCTTCGACCATTACATTGGCTTCAATTCAAATTTAAGTATTTATCAGTATTCAGAAGGGACTGAGAGCTTGTTTCTCATCTTACACATGGTATGTGATCAGGCAGATCTGTGGTGTATGAAGTCTGAAACCCCAAAATATACAAGGAAAACAAGCTACTTTTTTATAAAGTGCATTTTAACACAACTGCTATGAATATTTAACAAACAACAGCTTTCCTAAAGGTCTTTTAAGATACAGATAGCTGTGTTGGCACTTCCACTGGAATTCTCATGCGCATGTAGAGGCAAGACGAAATACTCCTACCAAATTGTTTAATTCCTATTCTGACAAAATGCAAACATTAACAAGTTAAAAAATGCATTATGCAATTGTTTAAAAATGTGAACACAGCTTCTTTTAACTACATCAAAGTTGCTCAAATTTATCACAGAATAGTTTGGATTGGAAGGGACCTTCAAAGCTCATCTTAGTCCACTACTCG